CGACGACAAATAATCCTCTTAGACTCGAATAACGACGTTCGTTGTCTTCTCTCCGTCTCGAGCTGTATTCGGGGACCTATAGGCAATTTTTGACGCCTACAATGATTTTGAGACTTATTTTGGTGATCAAAAGATATAATCTTAGTTATTCACATATAATAAGCATACCAATGAACAATCTTGTATCATATGAACTATATATATTTTTATATTATTTGGTTTTCTCATCCCTTTTAATATCCGTGTGCATATCCACATATATATCCACGTGTATATTCGTCTTTGTATTCAATTTTAGTGTATATGATATAAGTTTTACTGACCGAGATATATTCATATTCGTATCCGTATCCGTGGTTAGTAAGCGGATACATATATATAAGTTTTACTGACCGAGATATATTCATATTCGTATCCGTATCCGTGGTTAGTAAGCGGATACATATATATAGAGAGTTATATCCTAGCGATATCCGATCTGTTAACACCCCTACAAACACACCCTAACTCTTAGCCCTTGGTCGTCTTTTCCATAATTGACTATCTGCGAGGTGCTGAGAAGTTGTATCATAACTCACGGTTTGATGATGATACCTCTATTCTTGAGCTCAAGACTTTGGTGGCTCATGATGAAGCACGCATAATGTTACAGGTGAATTAAACTTGATATGTAGGATATATAGAATTCGCTTGAATGCACATGTTATCGTGATTTAGTTTGTTTATTTGACTGTTAAGATGTCATCTCAATTAATCATTAAGTTGGTGACTTGGACATATATAGATATACTAGTCACTAATGCTGACAACTTACATTTGACAAAGTGTCATTTGGTAGACTGAATCTCTATTCCCTCGTGAGTATCACATTGGTATTTTAAGCAATAAACTTATCTAGTGAATTGTATCCAAATAGACCAAAATCTTAATGCATCCTAAGAAAACATTATTATCTAAGAGAGTTCTAGGCTTCGGTCTAAATGTAGTGATATTTGGGGGGCTGAACCATCAATTAGCTCCATGATATTCCCCTCTAATCAATGAAATGATAAGGATAATAACAATAGAAATAACAACAGACACTAATGAGACAACCCTAAGTAATCAGTGGTTGTTATGTACCTTCAGGGATGAAAGCAAATGGGTGTGAATCTTTTGTGGACCCTTGTGCTTACGGCTCTGCTTGATTGAATAATATAAAACACAAGAAGAGAAAGAAGATGGAATAAATTTAAGAGTTCGTGGAAATTAGTCCTTATTGTACATAAATCCCTCTTTTTTTTTTTGGGTGGTCTAGGATCCACTGCCGACACAGTTTCATCCTTAAATTCAAGGTGCAAGTTGAACAAAATTGAAGTTGCGATTACAGTTGAGAGAAATTATATCTTCGGGCCTTTGGCATTCAACGGCTCTTTTTGAATGGGGGAAAAAACAGAAGGATAAGGATAATTGGATTTATAAATTGAAACTTCACCCAATTAGACACTATGTTCCTCTCTTCATCATGCATCCATCAATTATGAAGTGGGGAAAAACATTTTGTTGCAATATCTCCGATTTAAATAATTGAAAAAATTACATGAATTCTAGTGCCCAATAGTATGGTGTAATTACAAAGATGATCCTGAGGTTATGTATTCGTACAGATAAACCTGAGAGTACTGATTAAGACTATACAAGGAACCCTAAGTACCTTTAAGATTACTTTCATTTTTTTCGATAGCTGATTATTTGGGGGAGTTTTGCAAATGCTAATATGAGGAGTACTTTTGCATATACTCGTAATGAAAGGGGGCTCTATATAAAAATCCCTAAAAAAAGATAAAGAGGAGGACGCTGTTTGCTATAGCAGTAACATCTGTCCTTTTCAGTTCAGACTTTCTACTTTTAGTGGCTACTGTTTGGATTTACACACAGAGACGGTTTTTCCAGTTGTGTACATATGGTCTTGTGAATATTGCGTTTGTGCCACTGTTTTGATTTTCGTCTTTTATGCTGTGTTTTGATGAGAGTAGAGAAGGTAAGGAGAAAGAGAGATTTAAGTTTAATCTTATTTGTGAGTTTTATTGGGAATGTAGAGGAGGAAAATGAGAAAAAAAAAATTATACTAAAATGTTACATCCAAAATTAATGGGTAAAAAGAGGGGAAGGAAAAATTGACAAGTTCGAAAACTTGTTAATTTTCCCTTCCCTTTCCCCTCATTTACTCCCCAATTTGGGGTATAAGATCTTAGTCCAAATATTCCCCACCTTCCCTGCTTCTACTCTTCAAATAAAATTCTTAAGCAATGTTAAAATTCAAATTTCTATTTTTCTTTCCTTCTCTATCCTCCATCTAAACACAACATGTGAAAAGGGCATTTTGTATTAGCCCCCCACATCTTCCATGTTGAAATTGCACCCCCAAAAAAACCTTCACATTTTGAATTAGTCCTCCAATATGTTAAGTGTTTTTAAATTAGGCTCCCCAAATCTTTCAACATGATCCTAACTAGAGGGACTAATTTCAAAATATTTAACACATTTGTCGGATGATTTCAAAATATGCAGATTTTGGGAAGTATTTTGAAAAGACTTTTAATGTGTAGTTTGGTAAGACGTATAAACCTTCACGCTATTAATGGTTGTTTAGATTATGAAATATTCACCAAAATTAGATTTATATAATATGTACTTCGTGCTAAAATTAAGTGATGGCTTACCATGTAAGTGGTCACAAATTCCGAATGCAATCAAACCGAGACTGAGGGGAACATGTATGTCGTTCTTCCAAGAAATTAAGCATGATCTATACATCCCATTATGTAATGGAAAAATAAACTGGTAAGCCACAAAAACATTTCCCAAACACGATCACATGAATTTGATTATCTTTATTTTGTTTGATAATGAAAAGATCATTAATTTTCTAAATAATAATCATTAAGTTAATCTAAAGCACCTTTTGCTACATTAACCTTACTAGTTTTGTGGGTATTTGTGGGTATTTGTTTGGGGTCCTGGTACTTCCCAGTTTCTCAACAAAGGCCAATTATGTACATTAACCTTACTATCATCATATATTTATAAATATGCAGGGCTCCTCACCCTGTTTCTACTCAAAAAAAAAAGCACCCTTTGCTACATTGAAATTTAAAGTTGTAGTGATTGTTGATGGTACGGTTGCTTACTCTAACATGTTCCGTGTAGTTTAAACTTCTAACCGAAATGTGAATTTTGCGAATCGACACTTTTTACTATACATACCCATTGAGATTTAAATTAGGTTGTTGATAGAGATATCAAAACTCCAAATTAGCGGTGAACATTGACATGCTAAGGTCTAGAAATATAAATATTATCATGTTCTTTGTAAATTTCATTTAAATTCATACTTTTTCAAAATAAACGTAAACATTGTCTGCTTTGCGTTATCTAAGGGAGTATCAACAAAAATGATTTATGACATATCATCTTTCTTCTTGCCAACTTATGTTAATTATATACATAAGAAAACAGATACCTGATCTAGTCTCATTTGGACTTATAATTTTTTTTTTTTTATAAATACTATGTCTGCTAATGAGGATGGATGCCAATGTACACCAATAAACAACCAACGTAAATTTTTAGTCATTTTAGAGAGTTCCTGTATTTAGCTCTAATGCTCAAAATATTTTGCATCGTATATATATATGCTGTCAATTACGAAGATAAATATGGAATGTACAGATTTAATATAAGGTGCCGGTGACAAAATAAGGAATATTAGTTGCATATTCTTGATTTCTCTTCCAACAAAACTACGAAAAAACCAGCTGTCATGAGAGCAGGACACGGTTGCTAATTCTGCACTCTGGCTGTTACACAGTGAGCAAAGCCTTTGAAATTTTTTTTTGCAAGAAAACAGTTGCTCATTCTACTGCCGTCCAGCTAAGCAAAGACAGCCTCTGGGAGGCTAGCGACCCAAAATCCTGTAGGGTTGGGACCAGTACGGAAAAAATATACCGGCAAAATCAGCGCATCATGGAAATTCCACCAACCGTATTAAAGAGGGTAAATTACACCAAACCAACGAGAACTTTTCGATTTTTCCAGTAACCCCCACTAACTTTCAAAATCACACTAAACACCCAATAGCCTTTCGAAAGCGCAAAAAAAAAAAAAAAAAAAAAACCCAATAAGTCTAGGTGGCTTGCAGATAACCTCCATAAGTTGGAAACAAAAAACAACGTAAAAAGGTATTTTGAAAGGTCTCGGGGGTCTTGTGTAAGTTATCCAAAAGATATTTAGGGTTTCTGCTAAAGTTATTTGGGGTTCATTTTAGATTTTGAAAGTTTTTGGGATTTACTCCAAAACAACGAAAGCCCTGGGAATTTATTGTAATTTTATCTTTACATACATATAAATCAGTTAAACATCAATATAAATATAAAATATCAATATCAATACAATAAAAAAGTGCATTAGTATAATTATATACACCAATATTTTAAAAGTGTTGAATTAGGTCAATACTATTGATAATATTCAATAAGTGAATATATAATTCTAAATTAAAATTTTTGAATTTTAAATTTTAAATTTTATATTTTATATTTGTATAGTTGAATATGACATAATGCAAGCCATCTATCTATGAAAAAACATCCAATTTGATTTCGGTAAGTCTATTTTTTTTATTTTGGTACGTCTATTTTTTTAATCATGGAGAGTAAGAAGTGTACAGATTTATGGAAATTCTGAAACATAATTTTTTTTAAGCATCTCATGAAACACCTCTCAACTTTGAACTCTCATCACTAGGCCTCTCTGCATATAATTTATTCATAAATAAATAAAATTTACTTGAAATAAAAAAAATAAACTCATATCAAAAATATGCAACTTCCTCAGTACAAGCAACAGTGGCACAACTGTTATTCTTTGGAGTTTGAGTGGCATTGTTCCAACCCCCTTCACCTACGCTTCCCACTTCACAAACTAACAAAAGCCACAACTCTCTCTCTCTCTCTCTCAACCCCATCCTACCTCCACAAAAGAAACTGGGAGTCTGTCCGAGTTCAGAAAAAGAGAAAGAAAAAAAAAAGAGAGAAAAGAAAATGGTGCCTCGATAACAAATCCCTCATCATCTTCCTCCTCGAATCGTAGAGAGAGAGAGAGAACACAGCCAAATCAAGAGAGAGAGAGAGAGTGAAGGAGAGAGAGAAAGCTTCACAATGAGGAAAGATGGAGGAGCAGCGGCAGCTCCGAGCCCTCCTCCTTCCTCCCTCTTCCCATTTCCAAGCTGGCTCGATCTCAGACCCTTCATCGCAACCCTAATTCTCCTATAACCCTGCATCATGGCCATCTACCAATTCCAACCCTACCCCTCTCTCCTCAATCCCTCCTCCTCCTCCTCCTCCTGCCCCCAACTCCACCACCGCCGCCGCCGTCAAACACCAATCTCCTCTCCACCTCACCGCCGCCGCCACCGCGCGCAATCCCAAAGCAGAAGCTTTCCTCCTCGCTGAAGACCGCCTCCTCAAACCCTAACCCTAACCCCAACCCCAACAAGAGGACCTTCACCCCCTACGGCTCCGCCGCGCCGCCCTCTTCGTCCAAATGGGCGCGTACCGCGCGGCGCCGCACCTTCCTCCGTCGTCGGCCTCGCCTCGAAGCCCACCCACGTCTTCTCCAAGCCCTGGTTCAAATGCCCGAGTGGGTCCCAGACTCACCCCTCCTCCCGCCAACCCTGCCGCCAAGGCCTACCAAGAGCCTCACCCGACTGGGGCTACGGCCGCGTCTACACCGTCGTCGTCGTCAACTGCACCTTCCCCTCGAACCCTAACCCCAACAATTCCGGCGGCAAGCTCATCCTCTACGCCTACTACTCCCCGAACCCCAGAAAGTTCGAAAAGTTCGTAGCTTTAGAGGAAGCCCCTGGTTCTTACGACGAGTCGAAGTTCAGACCCCCGTTCAAGTACGATTACCTCTACTGCGGATCTTCTCTCTATGGAAATCTGAGCGCTAGCAGAATTAGGGAGTGGATTGCTTACCATGCTTATTTCTTCGGGCGAAACTCGCATTTTGTGTTTCATGACGCTGGCGGTGTTTCGCCGTTTCGCCGGAGGTGAGGGCCGTGCTCGAGCCGTGGGTGAAGGCGGGGAGGGCGACGGTGCAGGACATCAGGGACCAACAGTATTATGATGGGTATTACTATAATCAGTTCTTGGTAGTCAACGATTGCTTGCATAGGTACCGGCATTCTGCGAATTGGACTTTCTATTTTGATGTTGATGAGTATATCTATTTGCCTGATGGGAGGAGCTTGGAGTCTGTTTTGGGGGGATTGAGTAACTATACTCAGTTCACCATTGACCAGAATCCGATGTCGAGCAAGCTTTGTGTTGATGATCCGAAGAGGGATTACTCGAGGTGAGAAAAACTTTGATTTTTTCTGGATCAAATTGTTTGAAGTTGTTTAGATCTGTATGATATGTATGTCACATTTTTGCAACATTTGATCAAATCTGCAAATTGGTATTTTTTTTGTCTCTATGGATTCAATAGCCTCTTGTATATCGGTAGATATTTACTACTACAGGATAGTTTGAAGCCAATCAATGTGGAACATCTGGGTATTTTAATTCATTCGGTTAATTAAATTATCTATGATGGGATATGGTTAGATTAAACTGTAAGCGTTAGAGGATTGATGAGATTACCGCACTACTACTAACGACAACTTGATGCATTGAATAGATCTTTACAGTGAATTTAATTCTCATTTCTACGGCAGAATATATTAGAGTAGCATTGTAGCCATGACAGGGATTGAAGAGATTTTACTGCATCACTACTATTATTTCCTAATCTCCTACCTCTTATACTGTTAACTAGGCTCTGTTTTCATCCCTGAAAACTCCTCACTCTTAATTATGTTCCACAGAGAATGGGGTTTCGAGAAGCTAGTCTTCAGAAACTCAATCACCGGAATCAGAAGAGATCGCAAGTACGCAATTCAGGCCAGAAATGCCTATGCCACCGGGGTTCACATGTCAGAAAATGTCATTGGGCGGACAACCCACAAAACTGAGTCCTTGATCAGATACTATCATTACCATGACTCGATCAATGTATTGGGCGAACCTTGTCGCCAATTCGTCCCGATGCCATCCAAAGGCAATGTTACATGGTTCGAAAAGGTCCCCTATGTCTATGATGACAACATGAAGAACATTGCCGACAAAATCAAGAGGTTTGAGGAGCAAACAATTGGATCCTTCAGAGCCTAAACTTGTTACATTTCACCATTCTTTCGGGCTACAGCAAAGAATTTAGATTTGATCCCTCTTTTCCTTTGTAAAGGTATGATTTTGTTTTCATAATGTTGTAAATTGGTTCGCTGTGTTCTTTCTTCTTTTGAGGCCCTCAATGTTCTTCACTACGTCCCTCTTTTGGTATATCAAAATCTATATTTGTAGTTAGTATTTTAATTGGATTCTCTCTTTGACGTGGTTGACTCTTTTAGACTGAGAATTGATGTGGGTAGGGATTTTTTTTGGTGGAGTGTGTGTGGGTATATATATATATATATTTATTTATATATTAGAGAAAAGAGGAGAATAGAATTGCTTTCAATTGCCACTATTATTTTTATTGTCACACCTTTCCGTTTTTGCTTCGGTGTCCATGTGAAGGTGGTGGGGTTCAATAATTGTGAGGAATGGGGTGTAGGTCCCCTGCCATGAGAGCGACCGTTGTCTGCTCCTTTTGCGATGCATGTGGTGTTTAGCACGCATCATGGGTTGGTGTGGTTGGGGGATCCTTTTACATCGTCTCTCATTGACTGCGGTAGCTTCCCATGACCACTTAAACAGCTAGCGTTCCAAGTAAGTTAAAAAAAAAAGAACCTTCTGTATTGTGCTGGAAAAAGCGTCGGAAAGTCCCTTGTTCATGGTCGTCAATCTTTGAATTATTGGACTATGGGATTCGCTGTTCACACATCCAATGGTTTAAATGTATTTATTTGATGCATATTTAGTGTCATGTACCAGGACCACCAGTGCTTTATCTTTGTATTTATCTAAAGATAAATTATTATTTTTTATAGTACACCAGCTATCAGAGACAGTTTCTAGCAATTGTAGATGGTATTATATATACTGAAGTGGTGTTGGGCAGCTTATGCTCTTTAATTCTCCTTTGTCATGGCTGGGTTTATCGGATCATTGACCGCTGTATTTATCTCCTAATTTGACCGTCATACCTATATTTCAATTGCTTGGATGACCGGCCATGTAATTAGATACTAATTGGATTGCTAGTCACTTCTAATATCTTTCGTCAATTTAATAAATTGTATGTTCTCATTCATTTTTAAGCAATACGATTTACTTAATATGTCACAAGTTAATATTTTCAAGAATATTCTGATAAATGCAATATATTTACCCTATACAACTTGCCTGACGTGTCATAAGTTTTTATTTCCATAAGTGAAGATATTACAGGTGGGAATAAACCTGTTATGTCAAATGATCAATACTTTCCTATATTATGTCACTACAATTCATTATATCGATTGCCAAAAAACATTAGAAGTGATTAATAATCCCATAAGTATTTAGTTACATGCCAGCTTCCAAGAAATTAAAAATTTACTTATGAATGCCCAACTAAGTGATACATATAGCGACAAACAATCAAATTAACCGGCCATGGCCTCATAAAGGTGGATGATCTAGGGGTTTTGCTAACCATTGCCTTTGGAGAAGTGATTGAAAAAAGTGAAGGAGAAGAGAGAATTAGTAGAAACTATAGGGCTCTACTCACCCTCACATTTCTCTATCTCTCTCCTTCTTAACCATTGCCAATCCTAAGGGCAATGGTTAGCAAAATAAGAATATTTTTGCTAGCCATTGCTTTAAAGGCAATTGCTTTAAAGGCAATGGTTAAGGAGGAAAGAGATAGAGAGAAGAGAGGAAAGAGACGGGGGGGGGGGCGGGGGGGGGGGCATTTTGTCTCCCAGTCATTGTCATGGAAAAGGAGTGTAAGTTACATAGCATATGAGCATATAGATGCCATCATAGCCTCGCCATGCGTTTGGCTTGATGAGGGCTAAAGGATGTTATGAGTTCTGATGAGTGGTTTTGGAAATGGCGAAGAGCTTATTACTTATTAGCGGTGCATTTTTCTCTCATTATACTTGATAGGTTGAATTACAAAACATTTTTCCCACTTATCTCCAAATCGCCCATGACATTCCATCTCTATTAGGGGTTTTAGTTTTCTTTTTTGGGCAAAAATGTGTCAGGCCCAAAAACAGAAACTTCATGGTGCTGCCAGGCCCCTTCTACTTTCTGCCCATGTGTGGTTCAGCCCTTGAAGTGTTGACATTTTGTGCCTGCAGCCCTTTTTAACAATTATTCAGATGCCAGCCCTAAGGCCTAAATCCCCAAAATAACCTTATCCCCTTTCTAATCCTTCAACCCAGTTCTCTCTCTCTCTCTCTCTCTCTTCTCTCTCTTCTCCCCCCCCCCTCTCTTTAAAACCATGGCTTATCTCAAGCTCCGTCGCTCTTGGCCTCGTCCTCCTCGCCGCGCCACCTCCGCCCAGGCTCCCAAGCTCCCCCGAGTTCGCCGCGCCTCCCCTCTCTCCTCCGCCGACCTTCGTCGCGGTAGCTCGCAGTCACTCTCCGGTTCTAGCCTGCGACTACGCCGGAGTTCGCGCCTGCCGCTGCCACTTTTAACCCTATAGATATGGTAGGCCGTGAGGAGGATGACAGAGAAAGAGTGGATGATGCCCAAGAAAATGAAATGAAGTGGGCATGCAGGCCCACAAGGAAAACTGTCTACTTTATAAATTATTTATTCATCAGTGACCTTAACATTCCAACTTATCATAAATTAGAACTAACATGGAATAAATTAGATTAAAATTAGGAACTAATATGGTTCAAAATTTAGGAACTAACGTGGTATAAAATAGAACTAACTTGGTATAAATAGAACTCAAATTGTATAAATTAGAGCTAAACTTGTATAATTAGAACTTAATGTGGTATAAAATTAGAACTAACGTGGTTAAAATTAGAAACTAATTTGTTATAAATTAGAAAAAATTAGAACTAATTTGTTATAAATTAGAACTAAACTGTTATAAATTAGAACTATATGGCTTAAAATTAGAACTAACGTTGGTATAAATAGAACCTAACTTGGTAAAAATTAGAACTAACTTGCGCGTATATAAATTATAACTAACGTGCGTATAAAATTTAGAACTACGCGTATAAAATAGAACTACACGCTACAGAATAGAACTAGCACTGTGGGAATTTGAGAATCTAACACGCTACCAGAATAGAACACACTGTGCCTAGGACAAACGTAAGATTAAACTAACACGCTAGCGATTAGAACTAACACTGTAGCGTGTTAGAACTAAACAGTAGGTTGAACTATTAGCCGTGTTAGAACTAACATGTAGCCCGTGTTATAAAACTAACATTGTAGGTGTTAATGTGCTTAATGCTTAATAGCATTGTTTGGCTCGATCCACTGCCAAAATGGGTTAACCAGCTTACACTGAGATCTCACAAGTTACATTATAACACTACAAACTCTTCACCTCACCTACCCATGCTGTGACTAATTTTGGGATGCTAAAATCTAATCCAGATACTGCGACCTAACATTTGTTTCAGTTTTATGATCCTAACAGTGCTTGTTAGATTCTGATTTTGGATAAAAACATACTTTATTATTGGATTTGGGTTATACACAATCTGAACTGAATCTAACTTCACTATGTCCCTACAAAACAAAAATTTTAGATTCTTTCTCAAAGCTTCAAACATTGTTTTAGTTTTTTATTTTTGCACTTGGGACTCTTTGCCCTAAAAGCTTACAGTACAGCTATGAGTATCTTAAATCTACAGGAAGGAATATACACAAGGCCATTGTAGAAAACATGTACTCAGAAATGTAATTTACGTGGTTGAGCATTATTCAAAGAACCATTCCCTGAATGACATGCTTGCCTAAGCAAAACAACTCACATAAAAAACATACAATTGCTAAGATATAGTCACTGATGATCTTTCTTGTTATGTGATTGCTTGTCTTTTGCTGAATCTAGATACTTAAATTATCTTATTCAATTGATATATGGCACCAACCTGTAACAACCTGTATCTATAATATCAACCAAACTAATGAAGCACCCACATACTGACAGCTGACATGCCAAAGATGATTAGATACCTTTAACTTTAATTGCTCGAGCTCTAGTCTTAGAGATATTTCCATAAAAAAAAAATTTGATAAAAAAAGATTTCCAACTTAATCTTTTTATATTCTCCTAGCGTTACACATTTATCTCATAAGCCGAAAGAGAAGCTAGACATCCCCTATCTTCAAGTGGCAAAAAAGAATCTTATAGCGTGCATCATCTTAATTCTTAACTAATATATAGCATTCTAATTTTTGGTGTCTTACATTTATTTGCAACAGCATCCATGCCATTCCACTGCGCTATTCTTTCTCCATGAGCTATGCAGCGAAGTCATCATGTACCCCACGTCCCCACACTGAACTTCATTATTTTCCTAAACCTGTAGCGTGGCTCTATAAGAGCACAAGCCAAACTTACATGTTACCGAATTAAGCTTCACAAATATTATACCAGTGGTATGCAGTAAGCATGAGGATAATGCGACTTCATATCCTATAGAAAAAAACATAGTTACCTTTAGAGTACAAATTAAACATATCAGCTGAAACACAGAAGCCATATGTTCAGATATATTTTTGAAATTGACAGCGCTTACTGTATATGCAAACTTTTTTCCTAATCTCTTTCCTATTTTGACAGGACAAACCGGGAAATTAAACAAGGATTACACTGCCACCATGTGAACAAAAAAGTACTCAATTGCGAGGGAGAAGGCAGATACATGTGTTTCCAGCCCAAGCAGCACTCGAAGTGAAACAAACAAGATGCTGCCAGGTAAATCGAGCCAGAATATAAAATTTGCGACCCATAATCATATCAATTTATAAATTACAAATCTTAAAGGAAAGACGGTATAACCTTCGATGCCTGCCACGTTTGCGAAATGGAAGTCGCCGTACGTATGCCTTCTCACTACTTAAAAATTATATATCTAGGGGGATTTGCTTGCATGCTTAATCTCGCAACATGGGTGAGCTGCAAGAGAAGATTTGTTATACAGTTACGATACATCAATAACCATAACTCAGATCTCTACCTAGGAGCAAGCCTCAAACGTACAGGTGTTAGTTTCTAACCGACTCTACAATGTTAGTTCTAACACGCTACAGTGTTAGTTCTAACACGCTACAGTGTTAGTTCTTTAATCTGTACATTGTAGTTCTATTCTATAGCGTGTTAGGTTCTATTCTGCGACAGTGTTTAGTTCTATTCTGATTAGCGTGCTTATTCCTAATCTGCACAGTGTTAGTCCTCTATTCTGTAGGCGTTAGTTTC